GCAATCAGCCCCTGAGGAGAGCCTCAGTCTTGTTGACATTTAGCTGAAGACAGTTAAAGCTCCTCCAGGATCAAACAGTCCAGGAATTGAGGGTAGAGGCAGAGAGATAAGAGTTGGGTGTCATCTGTGTACATGTGGAAGTGGACTGTATGCCTCAAGATGATGAGGAGCATATTGATGATGAAAAGGAGAGGACCTAGAGTAGAGCCTTGAGGAACGTGATTTGTGGATTTGGGAGGAGAAGCCATTGGAAGAGATGAAATGACGATAAGTAAGAGTGAAACCAGGAATGGACAGAACGTAGAGCTAGAGAAGAGACGTGGAGAAGGATGGCGTGATTGACAGTATCGAAAGAATGTGAGAGGTCGAGGACTGTAAGGAGGAAAAGAGAGCTCTCATTGCAGATGGGAGAGTATCATCTGTAAAATACAGCAACAAGGGGCTGAGAGAGCATTTCTTGATTGTTGGGATGACAGTCTACAAATAATGGGAAGTAGTAATACTTCCCATAAGTTTGAGGAAGTTTGCTAGATAATATTCGTAATGGTAAGCTGTTTAATCCAGAAGTGGGTTTCAATAAACACTTTGCTCTGAGAGCCAGTGCAGACTCTTTGGGCTGAATGGCCTACTTCAGTGCTGTAAATTTCTATGATTTAGTATACCATCACATAGTCTGAGTCTCCAAGCCTGGGCTTTTAACAATCTGCACCTAATGTGCTCTGGGATTACATAAGCATGGTAATTCCCTCCAGAGATTGGACATTCCATTCCCAGACACAGGAAAGTTGCCAGGCATCTGTGGAATTGTGTTTGAGTTGAATAGGCTTGAATGGGGATGGGTGTCTGCATGTCAGAGAGTACAATGAAGGAAGGGATTTGTTAACTTGTCTTGTTATGGTCACCCCAGGAAGAATATATTGTTGTGTATGAACTTAAGTCACCCCAGAAACCTTTCTGATTTGCTGAGAGGTATGAGTAAACATTTGCACTGATGTTAACAGTTCAAAATAAAAGCTACGATTTTCACCGTCCTTTTAAAACCATCGCACTCAGCATTTGTTTTCACCCTTTCAGCTGTAAGTTCTGCGAAGAACAGATACCACAAGTTAAATAATCCCTTAAAAATTACAAAAATAATAATAATTTGGTCACTTCAAACCACGACTGTTTGGGACACTGCTGTGCGCAATTGGCTGCTGCGTTTCACACACAAAATATACAGTCAATTCACTTTACAATGTATTCTGTGAAGTGCTTTGAGAAATCTCGAAGATGTGATAAGGCGCTATCAAATGCAAGGATTATTATATCATTGTTATAGATATCCAGATAAATTATTTTCCCTTTGCATACCATATGTCAATACTTTTTTTTAACCCCGTCTCTGAATAGAGGCAAATATTTGGGTTAATCTATTCATGACAAAAGTAAAGGTGTTGATCTTTGCTTCCACCCTCTCTCAAAATACATTGTATTTCAAAGTTGTTTTTTCACAAAAACTCAGTCAGCTTCTGTCTTCCGCTTAGCTGGCAGTGAACTACAGAAATGAGATCATAGTGAGAGCAACTGATCAGATTTCTGCAACTGGGATGCACCATGTTATCTTTACATCTATTTAGTTCTTGGAGAATTGAATTTATAAACAAGAAAAAAAAGCTTGGGTCTAGGTTTACTCTTAAGCATAACATTTTATACTGTTCAGAATTTGTCAAATTCTTAAATAGTCTTTCATTTTGAAGCCATTTTCTGTAAGTTTCTTGCGGAACTGACCCTCAACTCTGGTCCAAAACTTTGTCTGTCCAGCGCCTTGGGATGTCCTCCCGACATGAAAGGTGCTATATAAATGTAATTTTGTTGTTGTTGAAGAATTACAGGAACTGCACTTCAAAGTTAAAACTGAATTGAACAATATGGCAAATTCTGTACACTCTGAAATGTGACGTTAATACCTTTTGCGTCTTGTAAACTTGCTGATGAAACGGCAGAAGTAAGATGAATTTGAGTTAATCAATTTAGGGCAAAAATAAAGTGATGATCTTCTCCTCCCGTCCTCTCCAAATTTGCTTTTGACATGTGGGGGAAGCTACTTTTAAGAATTCCCACAAGTGATTCATTTGGTATTTTTCTAACACTCCTAAGTTGTTTCGGAAAGTGTTTTCCGAAGCAGAGAGTGATGGTTTTCTTATGAGTAAAAGAGGATTGTAGCTGTTTATTTCGTAACATTGCAAGTTTGGTTATTTATTCTTGATGCATTAAGTGCTTTTTCCCAAATCTGAGAAAAATTCCAACAATGGCACTCTTATATTTTTAGGTTGTTTCTGTTTAAATTATATATAGAGCTTTTCCTGGGGCATTAAGGGTGTTTCTGAAGAACTTGTGACTTGTTATTTGAAAGTTCTTGCCCTTATTCATTAAGTACTATATACGACTTGTCTGCAAACTCTTACGAGCAGGGCTTTCCTGATGCATTGAAGTTTCTTATCTCTTGAGGATTTTATCCTAAGGATCAGTAAAATGGTTTCCATGCCATCGATAATCAACGACAACAACAAATTATATTTGTGTAGCACCATTCACCTCGGGAGGACATCCCAAGGCGCTAATCAATAATATCTCCAGCATGTCTCTCATATGTATTTTGCAAAAGTTCAGAAAAAGCATAATTATCCAAATCAGTTGGAAACAGTTCACAAGTTATGCTCAACCTGGACAGCACCTTGTACAGTAGCATGTACAGCTGTGTTCACTGTGTTATAAGTTGGCTGCCCAGATCCTGGAGACAGTACAGGGAAGAGCAACAAGGTTGAACCTTAGCACCAAGAGGTGTCAGGGATGTCTAAAAGGCACATAGATCAGATGTGATGCCCAACATACATTCAATTTGGATTTCATTGGGGTTAAAATGCTTCCAAGAAGATGACCTGACAAACCCGGCCAGGATTGTAGTAAACCAAGCCATTGTGTTAACTGGATTGTTAATGAGACTTGGAGGTGTGTGATCGTGTGAGCCAGGTCTTCAATGAATAGCACACTATCAGGTTGACCAGTATTGTTAAACTTCTCAATGCTTCTTGGTGTGTTTAATTTTATGGTTACTCACAAATTAATTTCAGTAGAGCAAGAATGAAAAAGCAAACGGGTTTTCTTGTATTATTCACAACATAAGCACGAATGATAGTGTCCTTACATGCTTTTCCAAGTATTTAGCATGTTTCTATGATACACAGAGAGCACATAATTTTTATTTTGACCCTTATTTAATGTTCTGAATTTTTATATATGGGAAGAGAGGGGATAAAGTGCTAAAAAGTGGGATTAATAATAACAAAAACAGTTTAGAAACAGTGTCACTGATCTGATGGGTGAATGACAGTCTGCTGTGCAACAGGTTTCTATTTTTCTCGATTCAACAGTTCAAAACTGCCATAAGGATTCGCAAGTTGTACTTTCTGATTCCTCACACAAGTGTCTCGCTAACAGTGCACCTTAAGGTGTAACAGAAAAAAAGTACTATTTTAAAAAAGGAAATAACACATTTAAACACTCATAAGTATGTAACTAATAATAATAAATAATAATAATGAACAACAACAACAACAAAATTACATTTATAGAGTGCCTTTCACGTCGGGAGGACGTTAACAAAGCGCTGAAATGAATAGTATATAAATAACATATTTACAGCACTCATGGAGGTTTCCATATGACTGTGCTATAGCCAACTGAAGGCAAATGCCAGTGTTTAATTTTCAGTGTTTTGGGATGTTCTCCTGGTGTGAAAGGTGTTATTTAAATACAATATTTTTTTTGTGTGAGGGTATTCATTTTGTCATCAGCAGGACAATACTTTATTAATTTTTTAAAAAAATGATTTGTCTTGCCGCTATTTTATGACATTACATATAAGTAGTATTTAAGGATATTCCAGGGGACTACAGTAATTTTGTAGGAATACAAAGTCCTTTGATGCTTATTTTTGAGTTCTTATTTGTGAAGCTGCAGAGTATATGATGAACAAATAGTTTAGAAAACCTACTTTAATCCAAGCATGTAGATCCACTGTGCAAACTTTTCATCCCTAATTTGGAGATCCTATCCAAGCACAAAATGTTCCCTTTTTGCTGTTCCAAGCAACACTTAAAGTCAGTCTAATATCAAATGTCCTCTATAGATACGAACAGGTGGAAATCCAATGCAATTGTGTTACCTTTTACTCCAATATTCAGTATATATTAATTAAATATTGCCATAATATAAAGATTTACCTTTTTTTCTTCAGTCCTGGATGAGAGCTAACTTTCTCCAGTTGAATGTCAACAAGACCGAGGCCCTCCAGCTTGGCTCCCTTTAGCGCTTCCATACCTCGGTGGCTGACAGCATCACCCTTCATGGATGCTCTGCACCTCACGGAGCCAATATGGAACCTTGGCATCCTGTTCGACCCTCAACTGTCCTTCATCCCGCACATCTGTACCATGACGCACTTCACCTTTCCCCACCTCCCCAATATTGCCCAGCTCCACCACTGTCTCTCAACGCAGGCCGCCGAGACCCTTATCCACGAGTTCATCATATCCAGTCTCAATTATGCAAACTCCCTGCCTGTCGGCCTCCCCAACTCCTCCCTCCACAGTCTACAGATCATCCAAAACTCTGGAGCCCATGTCCTTTTCCGCACCAGGCTCCGCGACCTTATCACCCGCATCCTGATCCCAACTACAAGCTCGGATGAGAATTCCTGACTGTCCAGCGTCTTGGGACGTCCTCCTGACGTGAAAGACGCTTTACAAATTTAATTTGTTGTTGTTTGGATTGTGGAAATCTTTTCAGCACTCAATACAGATTCAGATCACTTTAGTAGAATGCAGTTATTTTGATGGGTTCTAATCCAGTAAATTATATTTTTAGCTGTGATGTGCTTCATCAAGTTTTTTGACCCAATTTCCAGAGTTACCGAGGAGGTACTTACAAGAACTGTGTTGTGTACATTTCTCTTCTAGACTGATCTTGGAAAGCAATGAAACATATGGCACAGAAAAAGAGAAAGGTAAGAAATGTTCAAAGAATTGAATCTGGTAACAATTAGCTGTTTGTTCAGAGAAGCTACCTCGCATGCAGGGCGTTATATAAATGCAAGTTATTGCCACCTATAAATCACTTCATGTCCTGGCACCTCCCAACCTGTTCACGCTCCACTCCTCTACCTGTCCTCTCCGCTTGGCTGGCTCAGGCCTTGTGCATGTTACGCGACCCCCTCCACTCCATCATTGACTTTCATCCCCCAATCCCTGCCTCAATTCTCGCCACCTTACTCCCTCTTCAGATCAGAACTGAAGATTTTCCTCTTCTACCCTGCCTGTGGTCACCCTCCTACCCCTACCAGGGTCAGTCACAAACTGTACCAATGTTAAGTGCTTCGAGATGCTACCCCATGTAAAGGGTGCTTATTGAAATCTCAGCAAGTGTGGCGTTTGGTGTGCTTCAAGTTCTGTTTAATAATTGTACATATTTAGTGAAGGACAACTGCCTCCATCTAATAAAAACTGCAGTGTGGGTTCCCAAAGTGATCAGCTTGTAAAACTCAAATGGATGATAGCTGACTGAATAATTTTGGGATCAATCTCAGTAAATAATAATAATAATATAATAATCCCTACATTTGATATAGTGCTTTTCACGTTGGGAAGATGTCTCAAAGCGCTTCACACGATATAATCCAAAATGGAGTGAGTGTGTATGTCATCGGTGTATAAATACTGAGCATCAAAGAGCACCATTCGGAAAGTATCCTTCCTCTTATAGCCTTAGATTCCCTATTCACACACATCCTTCCCCTCCATCAGCTGTGTTACACCCAGCCATAGTTTCTGCTTTAATTCATTGATAGGAAAGGTGTTTCTTCATTGGCAAATCAAAGTCAGTAGTTAACAATGAATGGACTGCCATGAAACTAAATTACTTCAATATTTAGATCAATCCAATTGTTTTAAAACAATATTGAGAGGACATTGAAAATGTTTTAAAGTTCTTATTGTTCAATAAAATGTTCCCTTTCCACTCTTCTGAAGCACGTGACTTGTGCTAGACTGAAGCATCATTCCACAGTGTGCTCTTGTTTGCCAAATCATCTGTTTAAATATGACCCTTGATATTTGAGCTGCTTAACAGTTAGAGGCAATCGTGTTGCTCTTGTCCATGTGCGCACTTCCAACATGTTTAATAGTAAATGTGTGTGTTGCATGGATTTGTAGTGGAGGCCTTATCTTTTACAGTTAACATCTGCACTACTAGAATGTGTAGCCTGCCTCCTCAACTATTTGACCTCCTCTTCAAGGCTGCTGAGACATTCATCCATGCATTCATCACATCCAGGCTTGACTATGCTAACTCCTTGCTAGATTTCAAAATCTTGGTCTTCATTTTCAAAGCCCTCCATGGCCTTGCTTCTCCGTGCCTCTGTGACCTGCAGCAGATTTGGTTTCAGTGGAATGGTATTCTCAGTTTTACTTGGTGTTAGGTAGCTTCCTGGGTTAACTTGAAAAGTCAAATGTAACATACACATTCTTGTCCTACCACTTCATGCCAACCAGAGTGTGTTCTGTGTCAGATTTTGGTTGATGTAGAGTCTTCAGATTTCAATCCCATACACTGCTGGATTGCTGTTGTTACGTCTTGCAAAAACACAAGCAACATGCAGATTATTCTTTCTCTTCTCTTCACCCTCCTTTTACCCCTCCCCTCGCCCATCGGCTCCTGGATTGGAATATTTAACTATTTATTTAAAGGAAGAATTCATTAGTTTCATTTTCAGATTGTTTCAACATTTGAATTTCAATTCTTTAACCCAATATAATGGGAAGCCTGTGACAAATTCAGTAAGAGGAAGTATTAACCCCATATGTTGTGTGACTGCTAGTAAATGGGACATTACTGGTCTGGTCTTGAGTTAATTAAAATCTATCGCTAACAAAACAGAGCTGGGGGAGTGATCGTTAGATCTGCAGAAATAATGTACAGTGATTTAGGCCTAAAATAAAAACAGACTGTATTTCTTTTGTCCTGGTCAATGGTGCATGTACTTTGCTAACAGAAATATTACCATCAGTTGCAAACATTAGAGAAGTAAGAACTACTCCCCTGAACCTTCTGGTGTGTGACAAAGTACTAAAGGAGAGTTGGGGCGTGTTTAAGAAGAAAGAAAAGCCTTGGTGACATTGCCTGATCCCACAAGATCGACCCTGGTAGTATATGTACCTGCTTGAAGATGTGTACCACTGTGTGCTCAAGATGCCATAATACCTCAAGTCTATTTATGCATATTGTATAATAGTAGTCCTTGCATTTAGTATATAGCACCTTTCAAGTTGGGAGGACATCCCAAAACTCTTCACAGGATAAACAGAAAAGTGCAGGGACTTTGTTTTGTAGGCAAATGCAGAATCCAATTTGCACACAACAATGTCTCACAGACAGCTGTGGAGTGAATAATCAATTTTATTTGGGGGAATTGTGGTCCAGGACATTAGGAGAAACTCCCCTCTTTTTTTCTAATAGTGTCATGGGATGTTTAATGTCCATCTGAACAGACAGAAGGGGCCTTGGTTTAACATCTCATCTGAAGAATGGATGTTAGGTTGTGCAGACTTAATGGGCCTCCTTTTGCAGTGTAAATGCCTCTGATTCTATGGTACATGTACATATGTATTACATACATATTTAACTTTATCGGTGAAAACCTTTCAAGAAAAGAAAAGCAGTTCTATGCTTGGTATTTTTTGATTGCACATTGCAGTATGTGGAAATGTTGGTATTTGCCGTAATTTCTTGTGATTTGTGTTCGTAATATCTTGAGGAATTTCTAATGCGACTCAAGCCTTTCAGCTTCCGTTCTGTGTGCTTGTTTTAAAAGTGTTGCAAAAGCTTTATACAGTAGTGAAGTGACCATTCTAACTTTCCTCCACACAATGTCATATTAGGAGTTTATCAGTGTATGGGTTCGAGATCCAAGAATTCAGAAGGAAGATTCGTGGCAATCCTATGTAGACTATGAGATTTGTATTCATGTAAGTATGTTTTTTTTTCTAACTGTTTATTTTTTTCATTTTCCTGATACAACTTAAAGGCAACACCCAAAATGGGAAGAGAGGCCCCGTTCTCAGACACAAAACAAAGTCAGCAGTTAACAATTTATGTGCAGTATATAATATATATTAATGAGTGTCCTAGAATTTCACAGCACAGGGGAGGTTGTTTGGCTTTTTTTGTGCCTGTGCTGACTCTCTTCCATCAGGAGTTATATTATTAGTATGTCACTGCACTCTGCTAAGCCCTTTCTCCGTTCTGTTTTTTTCTTGCACACTCTCCAGCTCTCTGGTGCTTTTCCCTTGTGCGTGCTCTCGCTCTCCCTCTCTCTTGCTCTCTCACAGGTACACACAGAAGGAAATCGATCTTGAGGAGGTGTGAAGGCAGAAGTCCAAATTGAACAGATCAGTTCAGTCAACAGAGAGCTTTGACTGTCTGAGGGGCCAAAGGGTACCCAAGAGAATTTATTTTTAAATACTAAAAGTAACAAAATTGAAAATACATTGGCATGAGAATGATTTGGAACTTAACTTTTATACAGGCTTGAATATGTCAACTTTCTGCTTCCAAGACTTCCCAACTTTTCCCTCCACAAGCTGCAGATCATGCAGAACTCTGCAGCTTGGTTCCTCTCCCGCACACGGCTCTGTGACCCCATCACGCCCACCCTCACCCGGCTCCACTGGCTTCCCACCCCTCAGAGGATAGAGTTTAAAATACTTGTCCTCACTTTTAAAGCCGGCCATGGTTTTGCTCCTCCCTACCTCTGCAACCTACTAAAACCAACTGCCTGGTTCATCCGCTCGGTGGGCACTGGCCTGCTCCGTGTCCCCATTCCCCCATCACCATTGGCAATCAGACTTTCCGCCACTAGCCTCTGGAACTCTGTTACAGCCATTGATCGGTTACATTTTGGTAACCATAGATTGATCTTGCATTTTGCAAACTGTAATGTATTTTAGTAAAAAAAAATCATTCGCCGGTGTGAATATTCCACAGTGGAACTCTCAATAAACGTGTCCGTGTTCTTTACATGTGATATTGATCAAACGCTTCACTTGTCTTATGTTTTTCTGTCATCTGAACTCTTTTGACCTTTTTGTTTTTTACAGACTAATAGCATGTGTTTTACAATAAAGACTTCACGTGTTCGAAGGCGTTATAAAGAATTTGATTGGTTAAAGCAGCGACTTCAAGACAATGCAATATTGATGTATGTAACTTGCATTTTGTAAAACAAAGTGTTAAACTCCTCTCTCCACCTTTCTAGCCTTTACCTCTTGCACCATTGCCTCTCCCACACTGGTGGGAATGATATTACCTTTGGACAATGCTATTGTTGTAATTTAACACAGCAAAGATGTAGGTTTTGTTTTATCTAGTCCCCATTGTGAAGAAATGCCTACTGAGCACCTTCCTCCATAGAATGTTTTGTCTAAGAGACTCCAGGAGACTGTGTCTATGGTCTCATAGACCAACAGTTCTGCACTGTTGCAGCTGATAGTAGCTCTTCCTGTTTTATTTTGCAATTGATCAGATTAGGATCATTTACTGGACATGGATTTTGGCATGAAGCCCAAATTACTGAACACAAACAAGTGACTGGAATAGAAATAGTTCTGTGAAATGTTTATGTACCATTGGTTAGTATGATACTTATAGTACTGTAATTAAAACATTGACTTTTATCCCATTGTTGTGCGAGCTCTGAGACGCTATTCTGCGTGGAGGGCGCTGTATCAGTGCAAGTTGTTGATGAGCTAATCTGAGGCATTATGTTGTTTTTTGTATATAAATAAAGCCTGCCTAAACTTTTATTTTCTTCTAAAACTGAACTGCTCGAGCTACTTCTCTGTAGGCATAAAATGTATTCAGGGATAAAATTGTGGATCTGAATGTTCACAGACATAATTGGCTGGATTTGAAGTCAGCCCAGTCTGAGTCGATTAGGTAGTCTTGCTCTGAATGCTATTTTGCGAAATAATTAACATTAACATGCAGCTGTTTGAGAATCTCAGTTTTTGTTCTCTTTACAGACGTTTACCAGACCTCCCTCCTAAAACACCTTTTTTAAGTATCAGCAATGCCCAGCTTGTGGAGCAACGCCGGCAAGGACTCCAAGACTTTCTGGAGAAGTAAGTACACATTGCACAACTTAACTCATTTTGCAGGATCTGATACAACAAATGCACAGGGTGGAAGTGAGTATGGTTATCCCGACAACTGATTATGATCTGAAACTTTCGATGTAAACACTATTTTACTCAATATAGAAAAAATGAACCATGGCTGTAATGGTACCCTCTCAACAGTTCACTTGAGCTATCATTCATTGTCTTCTTATTCCATTTTCCCTCCCCCAAAAGCATTCTACCAATTTCACGTCCTGATACAACTGGATTGAAGAAGTAAACTCAGAAAAATACTTGTTGATGCACAGAGAAAGCAGAACAAGAGCCTACTGGTTTCGTGTTGCAGTGGGTATTTCAGGACAGACACAGAAGTATTTCTTTACCAAATGAGTATTTAACAATGGGAATGAGTTGTCAGGAAAGGTGGTTGAGGCCAGGATATTGGCACCATTTTAAAAAACACAGCTCGATGCAGTGATAGGAGGACAGTAAAGTGTGTATTCTGGAAGGATGAGATTAAATAGGCCAAAGGCCTTCTGCATCTGAACCTCTTTTGTGATCTTGTGAACAATAATAATGCTTGCATTTGATATAGCGGCTTATTACACATTAAGACATCCCAAAGCGCTTCACAAAATGCATTATGAAGTGAACTGTGTTGGATAATTTTCCGTTTCTACCTTCTTTGTATACTTCTGCAATTGGATGTTAGTTCATTCAAGCAATAAACACAGTCACACAGTTCAATCACTAAGAGTACATTTATTCAACTAACTCAGGACCAGTCAGTTCAGTCTGGTACAGAGTTAGGGTCGTAGCTTCACCAAGCTGATGACCCCGTTGTAGGATTCAACAATGGCATTTATACAAGTATGGGGAGGATCCCTCTCCTCCAATCGTTAGATTTGGTCGTAGGTGACAATGTGGTCGAGACATAGGATGTGTATTGGGCAACTATCCATTGTTTCATACTCCAAGGCTGCGGTTAGTCTGCGCATATATCTGTTGATTCGGGTTTACTTCCTTCATGGAACCAGTCTGCGCATACATCTGTTAATTCGGGCTTACTTCCTTCATGGAATCAGTCGTAACTGGTTCCATGCAGTTGAGCTGCACGTTTCTAAGATCAGATAACACAGTCTGCCAAGCTTCTCATTGCAGGGTTTACTAAAGTTATAATTTGTGCCTTTTTATCCATCATTCCCTCCTTTTATAATCTTTATTAACATTGCCATGTGCCGGTACAGTCCCCAATTTATTTTCTCGGATGCCTCTTGTTGTCTTGTGACAATTTAAAGATGCATCGTCATAGATGGGATCAATTGTACCTTGCTTTCATGGGTCAGAATAATAATCCTTCATATCATCATCGTCTGACAGATTATCGTCTGACACCACCTCCATCGTAAGTGATGGTGTTACCCCCACACACTTAGTGACGCACACTTTAATAAGGTGAATAAGGACACAAATCCCCAGTAATAATACCAGTAACACAACCCCTGCTTTAAGAACCCAGGCTCTCCATCCTTCAAATAAGGACGCCCACCAATTAGATATTCCACTTGGTTCCTGTAAGCTTTTTCTGACATGTCTGGGACACCAACCCATCCTAGAGATATCCTGTAACTGCATGTGCTATTTCCCACCTCTGTTCCCTTCCCCTCCTTAATAAAGCAAATCTGGCCTGGTATATTGCTCACCTTAAACCCTGGCGATATCTTATCATGGTCAAACCTTCGCACATACCTTGTACTGTTCTGTTTTTCACATGATAGTGTCTCATTTCCCCAGAGCCCACTTATGTTGAAAGTGACTCCTGCTTGGAGTCCTAACACAGTTTCTGCTTTTGTCAGCGGAATCGCATAGAGGAGAAAACCAGTCTGTGAACTATGGGGTATTTGGGTGCACACCCAACACCCTGTCACATTTGACGCCTTTACTGCCTTATGTGCAGCTAAGAGATATGTATTCCTCCCCAGACGTGTTACCAGTCCAAACCATAGTCCAAAACTGAGAATCCGTAGCCATGCCATCTTGCTAGTTGCTCCTTACAGTGGTGATGTCTTCTTGCAGTGGCTAACGTGGACCCAGGTGTTTCGTTCTGCAATCCGTACTGCTGTTGGTGTGGTTAGTATCACCTGATATGGTCCTGTCCACTTTGGTTGATGCCAATGCTTCCTTTTGATGTCTTTAATCAGTGTCCAATCTCCTGGCTGCAGTGGGCATGGCTCGGTGTTCTCATTCAGTTCCTGGGGAGGTAATACATTTCTCATAGTCATTTTATTCTGAAACATTTTTTTCATGTATCCTGCAAGTCCGGCCTCCTCCAATTCTGTACGTTCTCCCAGCTGAGGCATATAATATGCTCTACCCATAACAATTTCATATGGGGAGAGTTTTTTGCTCCCAGGTGTAATTCTCATACTTGTCAGTGCTAACGGTAGACATGCCACCCAACCCTTCCCTGTGGTTTCCATGGCTTTCTTCAGCTTATTTTTAAGTGTCCCGTTATGTCTTTCTACCATTCCTGCAGACTCTGGATGGTAGGCACAGTGGTTCTTTAAGGTTATCCCCAAGTGGATCCCCACATTTCTTAGGACTTCATTCTTAAATTCCGGCCCATTATCACTGTATAATATTCGCGGGATACCCCATCTTGGTATTATTTCTCTGCATAATATCTTTGCCACTGTTACTGCATCCACATGGGTGGTGGGGAAAGCTTCTACCCAACCCGAGAAAGGACATACCATTACTAGGCAATATTTCTTTCCTTCGCATACGTTCAGATGGATGAAATCCATCATCCAATGAGAGAAGGGTTCTTTTGCCAATGGAATCTTGCCTTGTTTACATTTTAGTTGTCCTTGTGGGTTATTGCGTAAACATGTTATACATTGTCAACATACATGTTGACAAAATTTTTGTAAATAAGTGGTTAGTCCGAATGTCGTATATTGTTGGTCTATCATTGTCCTCATCCCTCCTTTTGAGACATGGCATTTGCCATGGCTCAATCCTGCTGCAATGGGAAACAATGATCGTGGTAAAACTGGCAGTCCAGTGTTTCCAACCCATATGCCGAATGTGTTTAGTTTGCATCCCATGTTTTTCCATCCTCGCTTCTCAAGGGTGCCTGCCTCTGATTGCATTGCTTTAATCAATGCCATGTCAATCGAGGGTGGTGTTTGTGACACTAATACTTCTGCGAGGGGCACTGCCTGGGCAGTTTTATCTGCAAAGGCATTTCCCTTTGACACCAGGTCCTTCGCAGAAGTGTGGGCAACACACTTAAGTATCGCTAATTGTTTTGGGAGTTGTAATGCATCAATTAGGTTCAATATTAAATCAGCATGGCAAATTGGTTTCCCTGTGGAGGTAACCATACCCCGATTTCGCCACTGTCCAGCAAATATGTGGCAAGTGGAATGGGCATATTGTGAGTCTGTATAGATATTAACAACTTTTCCCTTCCCCAGTACGCAAGCTCGGGTAAGCGCCACAAGTTCAGCCATTTGTGCCGAATATCCTGCTGGGAGTCTGGCTGCTTCTATTACTGTGTCCTGAGTGCATACAGCGTAACTGCTTTGGGAACGGCCCCCCGTATCCTTTTTGCATGAACCGTCCACAAAGTATGTCACATCTGCATTCTCAAACCTTGTATCCGCCAAATCCACTCGCGCCGCCACTGACTGTGAGGTTTCTTCCAAACAGTCATGCGGGCTACCCTCGGAGGGTACCGGCAGCAAGGTTGCCGGATTCAATACTGTACATCGTTCAATGGTTACATTTGGGCAGGTTAGCAATGTGGCCATACAGGACAGCTGGCGTGCTGGCGATAGGAAAGCGTGTTTAGTTTGGAGCAATAATACCGAGACTGCATGCGGCACCAACAACTTCAATGGTTGGTATAGGACCAGGGGCAATGATGCGCGAACAGCCAGGGCTGCTGCTTCCACTGCTTGTAAGCAGCAAGGAAGGCCTCGAGCCACCGGATCCAGTCGGTGTGAGTAGTAAGCCACGGGCCTCATCCGTGTTCCAAATGGTTGTAATAGGACAGATGCCATAAACCCATTTTTAACGCAAACAGTTTGAGTATATGGCCTTGCAGGGTCAGGATGCGCCAGGGTCTCTGCCCCAGATAAAATGGTTTTTATAATTTCAAATGCCTTTATAGCCTCTGGATTCCATTCAATTGCATCCTGTGCCTTCATAGGGGCATCATAAATCAGCCCTAACAAGGGCTGAGTTAGCTCCGCATATGAAGAGATCCATGCACGGCAGAAGTTAGTCATTCCTAAAAATGACATCATCTGTTGTTTAGTTTCGGGTCGCGGAGCTTGCATTATTGCAAGCTTTCTGTCTTTTAATAAGGATTTTCCTTCCCTAGAAATTGCATGGCCCAGATATTTGACCTCGGGTAAACAATATTGCAACTTTTTTCGGCTCACTTTATGTCCCCATTCTCCCAAAAATTTTAAGCAGGCCAGAGAATCTTGGCGGCAAATTTCGTTGGATGGGGAACATATAAGTATGTCATCTACATACAACAAAACTTGACTGCCACCCGGGGGCTCAAATTTTGCCAGATTACTTTCCATACATTGTGAGAATATGGCCGGGGATTCAACAAATCCCTGTGGACATCTGGTGTACGTATATTTCCTTCCCAAAAATGTGAAGGCAAACCAAAATTGGGAGGCCTTGTCAACCGGAATAGAAAAAAACGCATTTGCTAAATCAATTACTGTAAACCAAGCTGTATCAGGTCGCAAATTGTTCAGCAAGGTATTGGGGTCGGGTACAACTGGGGTCCGGGGAATCACTGCCTTATTTACAGCCTGTAAATCCTGAACCAATCGCCACCCTTGTGATGGCGCTACCTTTTTTACTGGGAACAGGGGGGTGTTACATGGAGAGTCAGGGCAATCCACTATGATGCCCTTCTCCTTAAGTTCCTTAATTATGGGTTCAATTCCTTCAATGGCCTCTGGTTTCAT